TGCTGTGGCTGAGTGTGTGTTTGCTGTACATGACTGATGTGGCAACAAGCAGATGAGCCTGTGTGTGTTTCCTTATACAGCGGTGCGTTGCTGTCTTCTGCCCAGGAAAGATATTAATGATGGCATCACAAAAGCGGAAACCAAGGTCTATAGGGGTGCATGAGCATCTGCGTGTGTGACAGGATGATGCATCAGCTTTGCTTAACAGAGCAAACAACCACACACACACACACACACACACACACACACACACACACACACACACACACACACACACACACACACACACACACACACAAACACACTCCTAAAGAGTTAATCATCATCAAACACAGAATCAGACCTGTGGGTTGGCCTCAGGGAAAGCCCACAACTTAGCACCCTCCGTCACTAAATGGCACCTTTATGCCTTTAACATTACGCTCTCAGAAACACACACACACGTACACACCCCTGTTCTCGTTTATTAGCCTTACACGCTCTGGGGTCTCTTCACAGGACACCTGATTCAAACAGCTCTGCTGGTTGTGGTTTATTATAGGGTGATTTATCGATGAAGCCCTGCTGTGGTCCACCTCAGTCTGATTAGCCTTTGAGCTAATCCATCACCTGATTGTGATGTAATCACCCTGAGCCTTCCACTGGTTCACTAATGTGTTAGCTCTCCCCTGTCTCACTAGCCTGGCAAGCCAGACTAAATAAATGTATTATTCTTTGCATTCTTTGCAAAGCAAGAATTTGGTCTAGTTCACTAGGCTACTGTCTCACATCTTTGACCCCCAACTGTTTGTTTAAATGAAAATGAGCACATAAATTAAGGGCCTAGCATTCTTCTAAAAATATGTCGAAAGGATCACAGGAGATCATCAATGCAGAATGAGGGCAAAACACACTGGTAGTAAGTGATGCACACCAAAAATTCACTACCAGGACATCCTGTCAGCGCCTGCCATAGACTACACCCACATTTCCTTAAGGCGGGCGTACACTGTGCGACTTTTTCACTCGTAGCGTTCAGCTTCAGCTCAAACTGTACGACTTCCTCACAGAGCAAATCTCACAAGTCATGTGCTCACACTGTACGACCCAGTTCTCGGATGCGACCTGACTGCTCACACTGTACGTCTGGTAGCAACACTTCGGACCTAAAAATACCAGTATTTACACAACACGCCAGAGTTTTTTTGTGTTGTTACTGATGCCTGTTGTCCTTCGGGAGTGCTGCAGGAGGACACACAAGGATTTATGGGGGTTGGAGGAAAACGAAAGAAAGAAAGTAAATCTGTGTTTTTTGATCAGTTGTATTTGACACAAACACGACAAACACGCTTTCTTGGCAATCCTTGTCATTGTGTGTGTAAAAAAAGTGTAGAAATAAAAAGGGACGACGTGTGTTATCAGGGAAATAGCTGGACAAGCGGTGTTGACGCATGGTTGTGCATGCGCTGTTAGCGGTTCTGGTACTTTATGGGTTGCAGCCACTCGCAGCTCCGCTTCAACCCTCACGAGGCACGAGCCAAATTTCAAACACACCAGAAGTCCGTGTGAGCTCACGATTGCTGATCGGTAGCTGGTCACATGGTGTTAATCGCCTCTCGTAACCCCCTGTACACTACACGACGCTCAGCGCGAAACTCGCCCCGATCTTGTGGATTCTTGCACGAGTGGAAAATCGGCGCAGATGTTACCCCATGCTTCCTGTAGAGACCAGTGGAGGAAGACACCAGCTCCCCACCATCGAGAATTCATTAAAGCTGATAAAAAAGATGGTGGTCATGTTGGAGTGTCACTCATTCACAAAAATAACGAGTGGTGAAATTTCAAAACTAAAACAGGAAACAAAACAAAAGTCTATAGAAAGAAAGAAAGAAACAATCTTTTATAAAACACCTCTCAAGATAGAAATCATGAGGCGCTTCACAAAAACATTAAAGTATAAAAAAGATTTCAAAAAAACGATTAAAAATATGTTCAAAATGAGAATTTTTTTTAAAGTGTAAGTTAAGAGGGAAATTCCATTTAGGATATAGGAAGAACAAGTTTAGACAAAAAAAAGAAAAAACGAAAACACTTCACATTTTCTTGCATCACATCAGCGTCTCCTTTGCTGCTTCTATTTCTGATTCTCGTGTCTCACATCACTTAATCACACTCAGTGTTTGCAGTGTCGGAGCTCAGATTACCCTACTTGTTGTTGTCTTTCCTCATTGTGAATGATATCTCGGCGGTGGAGGGAGACGGGTGGCGCAGGTGTTGAGCATCACAGCGCGCTCATTCCTGCCTTGTTGTGTTGCACACAAAGCAAGGGCATGCTGTGAACTGCAGACATTTTGCAGAAGGGCTAATTAGAACCTCCTCCCCTCAGGCTGCAACCAGCCATGTGATAGAGTTTTTCCTCCTTTCTGTGCCATGTGTAAATGGGTAATCCAAAGAAAATCCCTTTGAACCAGTTGTCCAGCATTTTCTAGGTGATAAATCTGAATGGTTCCCCTCTTTCGTTCTAGTGAAATAATAAACAATCAAACAAAACTGAGAAAATAGGGCAAGATGAAAAGTTCCAGGGTTTTCAGCAGCCTGGGAGAAAACTGTTTAAGGAGCAAGCAGCCTGAAGGAGGTGTGTGGTGGTGACTTCTAGGGAGGTTCAGCTCTTTAACATCTTATCTATCTACTGGGTGTGAAAGAATGTCGCAAGTTTATGTGAGAACTGTCAACGTGTGTGTTTGTGTTCGTGCATGTGCCCACGTGCGTGTCCATCTGACAGGCGAGGATGTACCTGAGTTCTGTTCTTTACACTAATCCTGTTTTCCTCATTAATTTTTTATGATCGGTCATTTTTGTGTTTTGAGTGTTAAAATCGTCTTTGTAGACCTGGTCATGGATTCTTGGGTCAGTCTGAACAAGTTAACTACAAATTTTCAGAGATAAAATTTTTAAATTGGTCAAATTTGATGGAAACAGTTGAAATCTGATGTGAGAAATGAAAAAATGGCTTGCTTTACGTGCATACGAAGGAATGCAGACAGATGCTGTGAAAACCCGACATCTTAAGTGATTCTTCTACTTGATTCATGATGCACCAGATCAGGTGTTCACATTACAATATCATGTCAATGGCCTTGTAATGCAAAAGTCATACATTTATGAGATTGCAGCTGGTGTGGATGGCATTTACATGCTTTGAACTAGCAGTTAGCTCATCAGTAATTTGCTGTTCTGTGCTGTAGGAGAGCATTTTTTTTAAATTAATAAATGTTGCACCGAAAACCATTCAAGATAAGCAAGGGTGGGCATAAAACACAAAATCAAACATGATGATGGACTCAATCGTTATTTAAACTTTTGAACTTTTCCAGTCCACTCATCCGTTTTCGGCCGCTTGTCCAGGGTCGGGATGTGAGGGCAGTAGCCTAAGCAGGGAGGGCCAGACATCTCTCTTCCAATCCACTTGGGCCAGCTCCTCATGGGGAATCCCAAGGCGTTCCCTAGCCAGCCGTGATACAGTCTCTCTAGCGTGTCCTGGGTCTCCCTTTAGGTCTTCTCCCGGTTGGACGTGCCCAAAAAATCTCACCAGGGAGGAGTCCAGGAGGCATCCTGGCCAGATGCCCGAGCCACCTCAACTGGCTCCTCTCGATGTGGAGGAGCAGCGGATCTACTCCGAGACCCTCCCGGATCACTCCCACTTTCTCACCCTATCTCTAAGGGAGAGCCCAGACACCTTGCTGATTAAACTCATCCCAGCTGCTTGTATTCCCTGGAATCTGCTTCCTCACTGGAAGATGTGCCAGTGGGTTTGAAGAGGTCTTCGGAGTACTCTGTCCACTGATCAACAGCTTTTTACTCTAAAGAGTGTTAATTTTAACAATCATGAATAAATGTCTCACAACTTTTATCCAAATAAAGAAAAAGCAGGAACTTCACTGTCTTTGACTTCAGTGTACATCTGTCTATAAAACTTCTCCCTCCCTCGTGTTGTGTTCCGAATCTTTAGATGCCACTGAACGTGCTGATGCCCCTGGTGAAGGGGATAGCATGACAATCTGAACTCCACTGCCTTCTATAGACCAGAAGTGGTATCACTTCAGACCAGGAGGTGTAGCCATCAGCTGAGGCATATCGATCAGTGGAGCTTCTGTCAGGCCATATGAACTCTTATGAACTCATCTTCTTTGATTTTATCGGCTCTGATTTCACTTTTAATGGAAAGTAGCAAAAGAAAAGATAAAAGCAGAGCTGGAAAATCATGTTTGCCCTGTCCAGTTCTCCCTCCCCCGTTAGATTTCTTGTCTTGTCACATTATCAATGTGCATGTGTGTGTGTGTGTGTGTGTGTGTGTGTGTGTGTGTGTGTGTGTGTGTGTGTGTGTGTGTGTGTGTGTGTGTTAGGCTTTATACTGAAGCTTGTGTCTTGAGGGTTTCAGAGTAACAGGGAAGCTCAGCAGCAGTTTGGAGCGGTGCCGGGTGCTGGGTGCCGGCCGGGTGGCACTAATTACACATTCTCATCGGTACATTGGCTTAATTTGATGTGTCTGTTTCCTCAACTGCAGAAAAAGAAAGAAAGTAAGAAAAAATGTTCAAAGGTGGAGAAACCAAACGGGAGCAAAATGTTGGCTGTGATAAAGTGATTTGATTTAGAAAGTTGTCCTGAAAGAAAGAGAGAGAGAGAGAGAGAGAGAGAGAGAGAGAGAGAGAGAGAGAGAGAGAGTGTGTGTGTGTGTGTGTGTGTGTGTGTGTGTGTGTGTGTGTGTGTGTGTGTGTGTGTGTGTGTGTGTGTGTGTGTGTGTGTGTGTGTGTGTGTGTGTGCAGGGCCTGCTGGCATGTGCGTGGTGGGAGGAAGTTGCAAGTTAGTTCACTGCAGGCATCCTTTCTCCATCTGGTCCTATCTGTGCAGTTGTGACCTAACAGTGTCCTGCACTACCAGACACACACACACACACACACACACACACACGCACACGTGTGTGTGTGTGTGTGTGCTAACACTCTGCTTGTTCCCTGTTTCAGTGTGATCAGCAGAGCCCCTGGACTGAAGCTGGTGGTTGAGACACTCATGTCCTCCTTGAAGCCCATCGGCAACATTGTGGTCATCTGCTGCGCCTTCTTCATTATCTTTGGCATCCTGGGAGTACAGGTGAGAGACCTGGGAGTGAAATCTACTTCTGATTTGTTGCAGCCACCGACAGAACTGAATCTAATGCAGAAACACGATTGTGGCTGGTTCCATTGTCTTTAGACCACGCCCCTTCCATGCACTTATTATGAATAAATACTGATTTAGTTTCATTTTGATGACAAAATGATGTTTAATTATCGTGCACATAATAATAAACTAAACCAGTGGCCAGTGACTAAATCCCTCTGCTGATGGACTGAAGCCACATATATTTCCTGTCATTGAATCTCTCCTTTATGGACATATTTTCTGTGCTAATTTTAACACATGCTCATACGTACCACATAGCTATTACTTACAGTTCGGTAACAGCGGTGTTCAAAGTGATACCAAACATAATCGAGTATCCCTGTTAACCTGTATCCAATCAGGTATAATTTTTCCTCCCTGCAGCTTTTCAAGGGGAAGTTCTTTGTTTGTCAAGGGGAAGATATGAGGAACGTCACCAACAAGTCAGACTGCTTACAGGCCAACTACAAATGGGTGCGACACAAGTATAACTTTGACAACCTGGGACAGGTAGGAGCTAAGAATTACCAAGATTTCTTACAATAAACATTATTAATGATACAGTTTGGTGCACAGCGATTTTTGTCTGATACATGTAGTTTTTTTTTCAACACATTCTCACACCCAAAGCGCGAACAAATGATAATGGGAAACCAAATGATTGTTTCGGCGCGTCGGGAGGCGACACGCGGTACCAGAGCGTCGGTTTCTGACGCCTGCGGTAAAACACTTTGTCCAACATTTAACCTCTAACCTCTTGCAACTTAACCTTCCCCTCACCCACATGCTAACCTTAACCCAATTTATCATTCTAAACTTCGTTAACTGTGTTGGAGAGGGACGTTAAAATTACAAAGAAAGTTTAGCGTGCGCAAGAAGGTTAAGGTTAGGATGGGGTGAAGGGAAGGTTAACTCATTCACTAACAGCCATTTACCGATCAGAAAAGCCCTTCGCTTCCAGCATTTTTCAGCGTTTTCACAGTTTTATTAAGAGTGACAGAGCATTGCGCGCTAGGATGATGTCGACACTAAAACTAACAAAACAAAGCGGAGACTCACCTCTCGCATCAGGAAGAATCCGTGCATTTCGAGCGTTATCCGTTCTTTCATAATCTGTTGTCGAATTGTGTTTGGCAGACGCTTTTCCGATTTGCACCTCGCTTTTTTTACAGCAGCGGCTCAAAATGATCTCCGAACACATGGATTTTCTGCTTCCTGATCACGTGATGTGTGACGTATGCAGATGAAGATCGGCTTTAGAGCTAGGATGCTTGTTCTCACGGTGCGGGGGCTCATCCGACGCCCACACAGTAAAAACATGCAAATGACGACTTTAGCCGTCCATGGCAGTTAATGAGTTAAATGTCAAGAGGGTAAAGGTCAGAATTCAATGAAATCTCCGTTTTAACACAGGCATCGGAAAACGACACTCTGGCACAGGGCGCTGCCTCCCGACGCGCTGTGTCTCCCGACGCATCGGAAACAAACACTTGGCCACCCATTATCATTTTTCGACACTTTGGATGTGAGAATGTGTTGTTATTTTTTATTTCTGAAAAGGAGCCAAACTGATTGTCTGCTGCCTTGAACAGAGACGGCTCTCCTTACCTTCATGTGTAAAAAAATGGCAATATTTAGGATTTCTAGATGCCTGTTGGCTGCAGCCTGGTCTGACCCAGAGCCAGAGCACCAGAACGGTACGATGGAACCATAAAAACAATGACTTTCTGGATACTGCCAATATTAAAGTAAGACGCAGAGCATAAATGATGTTTCATGAATCTGGAAAGGGTCACAGGAGTGTTTCTAAAAAGGGAAAATGGTGGGTGGGGTTGGGGTGGTACTGCAGTCTTAAAAAATCTCGAATCTCCAAAATGTCAGAGTGGTTCCAGTAAACAATAATCCTTTACATCACCGTGAATCATGGATTTTCTGGCAGAAATATGATATTCATGCCAGACTGCATGAACATACCTTTGAGGTCAGCGTTCCTCTAACATGGCAGCGATCCATCTTTGGTCTGGGCACAATATGTTATCACCATTTTGGTTTCAGTCCTGGGTCATTAAGATTCTTTTGTCTGGGACCTTTTTTGCAACTGACTTATTCACATTACAGTGAAGTCATGTTTTCACAACTCCAGTAAAAGTGTGGGGAAGTGTCTGATGTCAGTTCTCTTGGTATCATTCTGCATCTGCAGGTTAAAACAGATTCATTCGTTCATCTCATCGTTTTAAATTATACCTTGCCCAAATATTGCCCTCGGAAAATTTGAATATGGTGAATATGGTCTTTGTCAGTAACTCACTCTAAAAGTTAGACGTTACAAGTCTTCACGTGCTATAATTGTGATGATTATGGTTTACAGCTTATGAAAGCCCCACATTCACAATTTCAGACAACTAGAATATTGTGAAAACTTTGAATATTCTAGACAATAATGTCACATTCTAATCAGCTAATGAATCCAGAACACATGCAAAGGGTTCCTGAGCCTTTAGATGGTCTCTCAGTCTACCTTATTTTCTAAAACAAATGCTAAATGACTTTTTTGACTAAAGTCTTCTTATTATAGCTTTACAGAACTTTGGGGCAACACTGGTAGCTAAAAAGTAAAATTATCATATTAAAAGTTCTTGAGCCAGAAAACTTCTTTTTTTTATCATTTTAAGATGAAAATAGAAAATGTTGTCCTTTTTTTTACCTGCTCAATAATACTTGAAATATTCAATATTTTAGTGAAAATAACTGTTTATATTTTGCCCAAAAATGTTGGGATTTTTATCTTCCAAATCACCTTAGGTCAAGATTCACGATCATTTTATTGTCATTGCACAGATCAACAGAATGGACTTTGCACTAGACAGCTCATGTAAGGAGGTAGTAAAATATAAGTAAAATACAATAACAAGGCTAAAATAGATGTCACATACACTCTTGTCTCTCACACACCGGTGACGTGAACTGTTACACCCTCTCCACCTGCTCTCCATTTATGGTGAGTGAATGGTCCTCCAACTTTTTCCTTCGTGGGTCAATGAAGATTTCTTTGGTTTTGTTGGTGTTCAGGGTCAAGTTGTTAGCTGCACAGCAGTCCACCAGCTGCTGCACTTCCTCCTGTACGTAGCCTCGTTTCCCTGGCTGATTAGACCCACCACAGTTGTATCATAAGCAAATGTAATGAAAGCGTTGGTGATGTGGGTGGGCTTGTCTTGAAAGGCTCTTCTTCTTCTCTTCTACTTTTTGCTCTTCTTTTCCTCTCTTTCTTCTTCTTGCTCTTCTTCTTTTATGTGTAAATCTTTTTGGAGACAGAATAAAGAGCCTGGTACTTTTTAACATTCAACCTAATGCTGTGTTTGACTTTTTTAATTGTTCTTTTATTTACCAGTTTTAACAAGCACAAGCACAACCAAAACCATTCAGGGATGAAGCGCGCGCGCGCGCACACACACACACACACACACACACACACACACACACACACACACACACACGCCACTTTATTGGGCAGTCACAGGAAGCAAGTTGCAGGTAAAAAACACTAATTTATTGGAATAATGGTAGGCAAGATGACATGACGAGAAGACAAGACAAGGATCTGATACAGACCAGCACAAACAGAGGGTTTGTTTACATCAGGTTAATCAGGGAAACTGGTGGACAAGGTCATGAGGGGCAGGTGAGTTCAATCAACACTAACAAGGGAGATGAGATGCTGAAGTTCAAACCTCACTGTGTCTACCTACTGTCAACATTTTAGGACATCCTCGGGTGTCAGCAATACGTGTTCAGACATCAGACCACCAGCCTTAGCCATCACACTATAAAGGCAAAACATCAAGTTTCATTCAAAACCAATCAGACCTCTGATGAAACTTTATCAGATAAAAAGGTATTAGAAAAGACACTATCAGACCAATTGTTTTCAGACAGAAGTGCCTTGAGGAGAAGCATCATACAGGTGGCACCCATTTTGAGCTTAAGAACATTTCAGAGAGGTTCCACGGACAAACTCCCGTCCCAAAAAGGACAAGTCATAGCACTGATTCAGCACTTCCTTGGGTTTGTAATGATTTGTTTTTAACCAGGAATCTGGGGATTCTTCTGCTCTGTGGCTTTAGGACCAATCAGCAGCCTTTGATACGGTTGACCATGACATTCTTCCATCTTGGTTGAAATGTGTTGGCTTGAGTGGGTCAGCTCTCCAGAGGTTTAACTGATATCTATCAGATAGGTCCTTTTAGGTGAATATAGGGCCCTACAGCTTGAATGGTGCACCTTTGAAGTGTGGTGTGCCCCAGGGCTCTATTCTTTGCCCAATTTTGTTTGCTTTGTACGTGTTGCTTCTTGGGTCAATTTTTCGATAGTACAGTATTTCCCTCCATTGTTTTGCTGATGGCATTCAAGTATATTTTCCTCACAATTCAGGAGAGGAAAATAAAATGTCTCAGCGCATGGCCTTAAACCTTTTAAAGCTGAATAAGGGCAAAACATAAATTGTTTTTTTCCCTAAATCATGCTCAGTCGGTGGTGAAAGATGGTGTATTCACTGACGGTTCTCTTAAATTTTCTAAGATAGTGTGGTAGTACAGTCAGGTTTTTTTTTCATCTGAGACTTCTGGCAACGGTTCAGCCATATCTTCCTGCTAGGGTGTTAGAACAAGTCGTCCATCTGTTACCTGTAGACTAGACTATTGGAGTTCCCTTTATTTCAGCTTAAATCACTGCTCAGTCTGACGCCTTCAAAGGGTTCAGAATATGGCTGCTCACATACTGGCAGGGGCAAAGCAAAACGAGTATGTTACTCCCATCTTCAAGTCCCTTCATTGGCTTCTGGTTCTTCTCAGGATCATGTTTAAGATCTTATCTTCTAGAGTCCTAGAACTCCCAAAGCACTTTACATTCACCCTTTCATGCGCACATTCACACACACGGGAATAAGATATAATGCCACAGCTGTACAGGGGGCCACTGAAAGTCCAAGACAAGTATAATATATATATATATATATATATATATATATATATATATATATATATATATATATATATATATATATATATATATGTATACAAATATATCTACACACTCAACAAAAATATAAACACAACACATTTGTTTCTGCTCCGATTTTTCATGAGATGGACTTAAAGATCTAAAGTTCATTCCAGATACACAATATTACCATTTCTCTCAAACATTGTTCACAAATCAGTATAAATGTGTGATAGTGAGCACTCCTGCTTTGCTGAGATAATCCATCCCACCTCACAGGTGTGCCACATCAAGATGCTGATCTGACATCAGGAGTAGTGCACAGGTGTACCTTATACTGCCCACAATAAAAGGCCACCCTGGAATGTGCAGTTTTTTTTGCTTTATTGGGGGTCTGGGGACTCAGAACCGGTCAGTATCTGGTGTGACCACCATTAGCCTCATGCAGTGCAACACATCTTCTTCGCGTAGAGTTTATTAGATTGTCAATTGTGGCCTGTGGAATGTTGGCCCACTCCTCTTCAATGGCTGTGCGAAGTTGTTGGATATTGGGGTAATTGGTACACGCTGTTGTATACGCCGCTCAAGCACATCCCAAACATGCTCAATGGGTGACATGTCTGGTGAGTATGCTGGCCATGCAAGAACTGGGACATTTTCAGCTTCCAAGAATTGTGTACAGATCCTTGCAACATGGGGCCGTGCATTATCTTGCTGAAACATGAGGTGATGTTCACGGATGTACAGCACAACAATGGGCCTCAGGATCTCATCACGGTATCTCTGTGCATTCAAAATGCCATCAATAAAATGCACCTGTGTTCTTCGTCCGCAACAGATGCCTGCCCATACCATAACCCCTCCACCACCATGGGCCACTCCATCCACAACATTGACATCAGCAAAGTGCTCACCCACACGACGCCACACACGCTGTCTGCCATCTGCCCTGAACAATGTAAACCGAGATTCATCCGTGAAGAGAACACCTCTCCAACGTGCCAGACGCCATCGAATGTGAGCATTTGCCCACTCAAGTCTGTTACTGCGACGAGCTGGAGTCAGGTCAAGACCCCGATGAGGATGACAAGCATGCAGTTGAGCTTCCTTGAGACAATTTCTGACAGTTTGTGCAGAAATTGTTTGGTTTTGCAAACCAATTGTTTCAGCAGCTGTCCGATTGGCTGGTCTCAGACGATCTTGGAGGTGAACCTACTGGATGTGGAGGTCCTGGGCTGGTGTGGTTACACGTCGTCTGCGGTTGTGAGGCCGGTTGGATGTACTGCCATATTCTCTGAAACGCCTTTGGAGACGGCTTATGGTGGAGAAACGAACATTCAATGCATGAGTAACAGATCTGGTTGGCATTCCTGCTGTCAGCATGCCAATTGCACGCTCCCTCAATGCTTTTGATATCTGTGGCATTTTGCTGTGAGACAAAACTGCACATTCCAGGGTGGCCTTTTATTGTGGGCAGTATAAGGTACACCTGTGCACTACTGATGTCAGATCAGCATCTTGATGTGGCACACCTGTGAGGTGGGATGGATTATTTCAGCAAAGCACAGGTGCTCACTATCACACATTTAGACTGATTTGTGAACATTGTTTGAGAGAAATGGTAATATTGTGTATCTGGAATGAATTTTAGATCTTTAAGTCCATCTCATGAAAAATCGGAGCAGAAACAAAGGTGTTGCGTTTATATTTTTTTGAGTATATATATATACACAAACCTCGTTAGTATTTCTGCCATGAGATGTTTATCAGAATGTTAGTCCTGGTGAGTCAAGGCAGCTTTATTTATTTTGAGGAGATTGTTACACATATTCTTTATGTTAAAGTGACAGTTAGTAGTTTCCCCAGACGATAGGGGGCAGTACGTACCTAAATGATTGCAAGCATTACTTTGTGTTTAAGACCTACGGCTAGCCTTTAGGGTCAAAAATCCCTGGAAGAGCAATCACCAGCTAAATAACCATAACATCAGATTCTCTTTCATCACTGGAAACGAGTGAAGAGGTAAATGTTTTTAATGGTTAAAGTTTTGTTGCCACTTGTTACAAATCATTAAATTTGTTTTTTCCTTGCGGCCTTCCGTACATAGAAACATGGCATCCAATATGGCGTCGCCCAGAGACTGAGACCCACTCCCATGTATTGTAGAACAGATTTTTATGGTTATATGTTATAAAACTGCCAATATTTTTCTTCAACTGAGCATCTTTTAAATAATTTACAACAACGTTTACTTTTGATGGATAGTTCCAGAGTTCAACGGTATAAACTACACATTGTCACTGTAAGGACTAAAACAGACCTTATTCTTTCCCTTCCAGGCTTTGATGTCTCTATTTGTTTTAGCCTCAAAAGATGGATGGGTGGATATTATGTATGATGGACTTGATGCAGTAGGAGTTGACCAACAAGTAAGAAAATTCAGCTTCACTCAGAAAATGTATTCAGTTTCATGGCTGTTGCTCAATAAAATCATTTCATATGTTCATAGTTCCCTAAAATCAGTCTCTAATTTTGTGTATTTATTAGCCCAAACTGAACAACAACCCATGGATGCTGCTCTACTTCATCTCCTTCCTGCTGATTGTTGCCTTCTTCGTGCTCAATATGTTTGTGGGCGTTGTGGTGGAGAACTTCCACAAGTGCCGACGCCACCAGGAGGCCGAGGAGGCCAAGCGCAGGGAGGAGAAGAGACTGAAACGAATGGAGAAAAAGAGACGGAGTAAGGAGAAGGAGCTGGCTGGTCGGTAGTCTTTCCACATCTTTCTGAGTCCTGCTTGATTAAAGCTTGAGCCTTTACTTTCTTTTGCTTTTTAATTTTGTTTGGCCGAGTCAAGAAGAATGCAATTAGTAAGCTAGTTCCAACAGCTGCTCTGCGATAGATTCTCCCCTTTCTATTGACAGCCCTCCTCCTCTCTTCTTATAAACCCTCAGGACAGTTCATACAATAGTCTAGTGGTTATCTGCCCTGGCTCAGTAGGGACAAACACAGTTGAGGTGCTTTTCCTCAACCCTGGATTCAAGCTGGGAGTTGAGAAAAGGTCCCAAAACTAAGAGATTTACAGAGTCAGACCAGCTGACCCCTAGAGTCACCCCACCCCACCCCTTCCCTTTCCCTCCTCCTTTACCTTGCCTGGTCGACCGTAGATGCCGTGCTTGGAATGGCCCATTGGAGCATGCCCAGTGGGTGCTGAAACCAGGGCTTGCATGGTAGTGGACACTCAGAGCCAGAGGGAGTGGGGGTTGTTTATCATTTAAATGCTAAAATCAAAAACAAGGTGACCCCCCTCCCTTCTTCTCTTCTGCATGCAGTTTAGTACAGCCGCAGGGGCAATTATAGACCAAAATGTGGAAGGAAGAATTTTTAGGGTTTAGACTTTATGGCCCACTTGCTCCCCCCACCTCCTCCCCTGTGGCTGTATAGGTAACTGTTTTTTATTTTTTTACCCTTTCCACTGCTTCCTACACCCCAAACAAGCGGCGCTAGCACCTGCTGGCATTAGCCTTCTTTTGAATTTGGTGCCTTTCTTACCCGATTTTACCCCTTATTCTGAAGGCACTTTTGTCTTTTTTTTTTTTTTTAAAGAAAACTAAGAAAAGAAATGTAGAAGGAGCAGTGGACACTAATAGTTCTTACAGTTTCAGACTGTGACTTTACTAATAAATATAAGTTAATTGATGAACTGTTTCCGCCGATCTCTTGAGAAATACAGATAAAAAACAGTCGTACTTTTTGCAGCTGGTGTCTTCCATGAGTTCATCACACACGGTCTACATGTACAAACGGTGTATGAGGAAGCCCAGCCCCTTTCATCTGTCATCAGTTTTTGTATTTAGAATGTTCCCTTCCTGTTATGGGCAGGGAGAGGGGCCCTTTTCCTGGCTGGGTGTTTGTTTGGGGTTTTTTGAAAGGGAACTTTATTTATGTGTTGTATGAACAGAGACAGGCAAGGTTCCTGACAAAAATCCATGATTTGCAAGCATATGTCATTACATTATAGTGCAACAGGTGTCAGTTTCCATGTTCTGACAGCTTTGTTTTTGAAATCGACAACTTCCGAACGGCAACAACATCAGATTTGCTAATCCGAAGACCTGGACTCAGAATAACTGGAAAGACATCAGATAGGAACATAAACCAGCTTAATCTTTCATCGCTTCCTTCTGGCCTTACTCCATCCCTCTTTCTCTCTCTCTCTCTCTCTCCCTCTTTCTCTCTCTCTCTCTCTCGTTTCTGTCTCTCAGCCATCCTTCCTTCCTTCCTTCCTTCCTTCCTTCCCTCCCTCCCTCCCTCCCTCCCTCCCTCCCTCCCTCCCTCCCTCCCTTCCTTCCTTCCTTCCTTCCTTCCTTCCTTCCTTCCTTCCTTCCTTCCTTCCTTCCTTCCTTCCTTCCTTCCTTCCTTCCTTCCTTCCTTCCTTCCTTCCTTCCTTCCTTCCTTCCTTCCTTCCTTCCTTCCTTCCTTCCTTCCTTCCTTCCTTCCTTCCTTCCTTCCTTCCTTCCTTCCTTCCTTCCTTCCTTCCTTCCTTCCTTCCTTCCTTCCTTCCTTCCTTCCTTCCTTCCTTCCTTCCTTCCTTCCTTCCTTCCTTCCTTCCTTCCTTCCTTCCTTCCTTCCTTCCTTCCTTCCTTCCTTCCTTCCTTCCTTCCTTCCTTCCTTCCTTCCTTCCTTCCTTCCTTCCTTCCTTCCTTCCTTCCTTCCTTCCTTCCTTCCTTCCTTCCTTCCTTCCTTCCTTCCTTCCTTCCTTCCTTCCTTCCTTCCTTCCTTCCTTCCTTCCTTCCTTCCTTCCTTCCTTCTGCTTTTGCTTCTGACTAACACGGTTTCATCCCTCTAGATTTAATGGTTCCGGGGGTGAGTTGGGCTCTCTCTGACGGCACACTGAAAGGTACAGAGTATTCCAGCATGCTGTTTGTTTCCCTTTAAACGCCCTCACTACCACCGACCACGACCACCCACCATGGTGGCTAGGGTTCAGTGTTCAGTGATCACGGGAGGTAGGGCCCCATCCTGCGCCCCCGCCCTCCTGCCTCTCTCCCATCAGCCTTCAGTCCACTGGACATACTGTTTCCTGTCCTCTCTGTCGTGGCTTTGTCTTTCACAGCTCTTCACACTGCCTGCGATCCATACACTGTCCACAGCACTGCATCGCTGTCCCTCCACCTGCAAGGGATGAAGACTAGTTTTCTATTGTTTCATCTGGCAAAGAATTAGAGATGGTCGTGAAGTCAGCATCCGACTGGCTGTGAGTTGTGACGTGAACTTGCTTTCAGTTTCTTTCACTCTGGGAAAATTCTGATGAAATATAAGGGCTAGTGAAGAGTAATGCTTTTTATTTAGAGATAATAATAATGAATGCATGGATAACAACAATAATAATAATAATAATAATAATAATAATAATGTAGCGTTGGAAAGGCCATGTTCACAGCCATCTCCATCAGTGTGCTAAAGCTCGACTCCCTGCTTTCATAACCAGACCACATGCTCTGTTTATGACCTCGCCATCTGGGAAACCATCTTCACAGAGTCGCTCTTGCTCCCTTATCTGTGCCCGCAAGACCCCAAAAGAAGACAGAACTCTAACTTTAATAAAAGAATAATCCTCTGTTTCATACGATGATTTTCACACTTTACAGATTACCGTATTTTCCGGACTATAAGTCACATTTTTTCATAGTCTGGCTGGTCCTGCGACTTATATACCAAAGTGACTTAAATACCAAATTATGTAAACCGCGCTGCTGCAGGCCGGTTCCAGTCCAGGTTTCAGCTCCTCTGCCCTGCTGGGAGGGTTTGAAACACTGCCATCCTCTGCTGGAGACCGTGGCGCGCTGCTGCGCCCGCATTGTTTATTCTGTTATTGTTACCGGTACTTGTCTTGCAATGTGAAATGCTTGGTCTCAGATTTTGTAAGAAAAATAATAAAATTTCCCCCAAAATGTGACTTATATATATGATTTTTTTTCTTCTTCATTATACATTTTATGGTTGGTGCGACTTATACTCCGGAAAATACGGTAATTGCAATCAAAGACCAATGGAAGACTTGATTGCATGACAGTAATAATGAATCAAAATAACTGTTTATTGTTGAGATGCATTATTTCTGATCAGAGACACTTCCTCTACACTCCAGTTCCAGGCAAATTGCTAAATGAACACCTCTTGTGAGATCAACCCAGATCTCACAATAGAACACCTCTAGCGGCATAGAACCATCCTTTTTCCAAACCAAACAGCCATTCCTTGTTTTAACCTGCAACAACTTCAGCAGACGCAAAATAAGCCGTGAGCCGCCAGCAGACACCCAGAGTGTATACCGCTGCCCGGCTCGGTCGTATTCTAAAGGGGCTATGACCTTGGAATACCCCAGAAGTCTAATTCCACTGGTCAGCCTTGCCGAGAAGACTTTGCTTTTCCAGCCAGATCTCCGGGAACCATCACACTGGTAGGGTAGACCTGCATACTGCTGTTGGATGCCTTGAGACTAATTTGATAACTCATCAAACATCACTAAATTCAGCCAGATTATTCTTACAATCCCACACTTCACATCTTTCCTAAGATAATTAGACTCTTAACTCACTCACTGCCAGCCGTTTCATCATCAGAAAAGCCCTTCGCTGTCAGCTTTTTTCAGTGTTTTCATAGTTTTTTTGAGAGTCACAGAACGTTGCGCTCTAGGATGATGTCAACGCCAAAACTACCAAAACAAAGCAGAGACTCACCTCTTACATCAGGAAGAATCCGCACGTTTCAGAGTGATCCGCTCTTTCATAATCCGTTGTCGAATTGTGATCGGAAGAAGCTTTTCCGGTTCGCGCCTCACTTTTTTTTACAGCAGCCGCCCAAAATGATCTCCTAACACATGAATTTTCTGCTTCCTGATCTCGTGACGTGAGACATATGTGGAGGAAGATCGGCTTTGGAGCTGGGATGTTTGTTCTCAAGGTGCGGGGGCTCGTTCCAACGCCCACACAGTAAAACAATGCAAAAGTTGTCAATGGCAGTGAATGAGTTAAAGTTATGTTTCATTAATTCAATTAAATTCAAATTTATTTATACAGTGCCAACTCACGACAAGAGTTGTCTCAAGGCACTTCACATAATAAACATTCCAATTCAGGTCAGTTCATTAAGCCAATCAGAAATAATGTTTCCTATATAAGGAACCCAGCAAATTGCATCAAGTCACTGACTAGTGTCAGTGACTATACAGCAATCCTCATACTAAGCAAGCATAAAGTGACAGTGGAGAGGAGAACTCCCTTTTAACAGGAAGAAACCTCCAGAGAATCCAGGCTCAGTATAAGCAGTCAACCTCCACGACTCACTGGGGATTGAGAAGACAGAGCAGACACACACACACACACACACACACACACACACACACACACACACACACACACACACACACACACACACACACACACACACACACACACACACACACACACAAACACACACACACACACACACACAAGACAAAGTAATGCGTCTATAGTTATATTGTGATTTCTTAGTAAATATTCTATTTGGCGAGAGATAAACTTTATTGTATTTATCCTAGTGGATCTATAATTAAACGGGTAAACTAGTAGTAGCACATTCAATGTCAAAGAAAGTAAAAAGTTATTATCAGGAGAGGGAGAATTATTAAGTGGTTAGCAGAAGTGTGCTAGACGATGGCCCCCTCCATGAGGCCACCACAGCTCAGCAGAACATCATTGTAGCTTCTTCTGGGGAGAAAAACGCTTAGAGAAAAAAATAAAGTTAACAGCTGAAATAGCAGAAAATAATACAGTTAAAGAGCAGATAGTAGAAGAAAGTAGCAGAGTGTGAAAAGTGGTCAGTGTATCCTCCAGCAGTCTAAGCCTATAGCAGCATACCTACAGAGATAACTGGATAATCTATCCTATTTAGATGGAGGCATGTTGAGGCAGGGCAAGGGAGAGCCATCTTTACCGACTGTACACTCCACCTCCCTCTACTCCCCCACTTGTCCAGATTTAGGCTAACATCAGATTTTAACCATAGGCCCTATCAAATAAAAAGGTTTTAAGCCTAGTCTTAAAAGTAGACAAGGTGTCTGCCTCACGGACTAAAGCTGGGAGCTGGTTCCACAGGAGAGAAGCCTGATAATTAAAAGATCTGCCTCCCATCCTAATTTTAGATATTCTGGGAACCACCAGTAAACCTGCAGTCTGAGAGCGAAGTGCTCGGTTAGGAATGTATGGAACAATCAGATCACTGATGTATGATGGAGCTTGATTATTAAGAGCTTTATATGTGAGAAGGAGGATCTTAAAATCTATTCTGAATTTAACAGGTAGCCAATGTAGGGAAGCTAAGACAGGAGAGATATGATCTCTCTTTTTAATTCTCATCAGAACTCTAGCTGCAGCATTTTGGACAAGCTGAAGACTTTTAACTACATTCTGTGGACTTCCTGAGAGTAATGAATTACAGTAATCCAGTCTTGTTGTAATAAATGCATGAACTAGTTTTTCAGCATCACTCCTGGAAGGTGGAAAAAGGAAAATCCTGCAAACCTGTTTAACCTGGGATTTGAATGACATGTCCTGGTCAAAGATAACACCAAGGTTCCTTACTTTGTTCTCGGAGATTAATGTAATGCCATTCAGGTCAGGTGATTGACTAACCCCCAAATTCCACTACCTCCGCTCCGCTCCGGTCCGCCCCCGCCTTGCGCAGCTGCTCGCTTCCGAACTCAATTTTTACTGGTACCCGCTCTACAACGGCTCCGCTCCGGTGCGGAGACCTGAGGGGGGCAAACAAGCATGCGCGGGATTTTCGAGATCTTGCGATACAGTCCGAGCAATAAACGCGGAAGTTAGATCCAAACACCCATTGTGTGGGAGAAGCATCGACATGAACTGTTTAATCTGCCCATCATTTGTGTTGAGAGATCAGCAGTGTTTGGATCAACAAAGTGTGACTACTTTGATAGTGGAAACTGTATTTATTTATGGCTTACTTTTGTGCATTTAAACTTCAGCCGCCATTGATAGTTGTTAAAAGTTGTTAAACCTGTGCATATGAAACAAAAAAAGCCTTTTGTTTATCGATTTATTGTGAAAAACAGAAAGTGTGCTTGCTCCTTTTCCTGTTGGACGGTTGTGATTTCTGTCTATTTGCTGCGGAGGTGCTCCGGCGTCCGGCGAAAATGGGATCGATTCTATTTTTGCCGGACGCCGAAACAGAGGGTGGCGCACGGCGCCGCACTGCCGGAGCACGGCCGCAGTAGTGGAATTGCTCTGATTGACTACAACGGGACCGGTTTTGCTCCGGCGTTTGTGTCGGAGCGGAGCGGAGGTAGTGGAATTCCGGGTTAAGCAATTTCCTTTTCTGGATTTCTGGTCCAAAGATGAGAACTTCCGTCTTGTCTTGATTTAAAAGCAAAAAGTTAAGATTCATCCAATTTTTTATGTCCTCAAGACAAGCCTGTAATCTACCCAACCGATTAGGTTCATCATGGTTCATGTATAAATAACTCAAATAACTGAGTATCGTCAGCATAACAGTGGAAGTTTATCCCATGCTTTCTAATGATTTTACCAATTGGGAGCATATACATAGTAAAAAGAACTGGTCCAAGCACTGAACCCTGTGGTACTCCACAAGTAACCCTGGAGTATGAAGACTATTTGTCATGTACATTTACAAAATAAAATCTGTCAGACAGGTAGGATTTAAACCAGCCTAACGCTGTTCCTTTGATCCCTACAACATGTTCAAGTCTTTCTAAAAGAACATTGTGATCAACTGTTTCAATGGCAGCACTGAGATCTAACAAGACTAGAACAGACACAAGATTCTTATCTAAGGCCATGAGAATATCATTTGTAACTCTCACTAAACGCA